ACAGGATTCCGTGCCCTAATATGCTTTAACATTAAACTGAGTGCTCCTCTGAATACCAAAGATGATTTATTGGAAAGGAATGCCAGGGCATGTCATACCTAGTCATTAAGATTACCTTGGGCTTATTATCATTCTTTCTGTTAACTGAATTAGTATTACATGGTCATTCATATTAAGGAGCCCTGTTATAGGCAATCATGTGCTTCATACATTGTGCTGCTATTTAAAGAAAACTCTGTCGATATTCTTTATATCCATTAACTAAAAAGGCCAATGGACAAAGGCAGAATGGAGGAAGACATGTATTCTAAACTGTCAAATAAAACCTCCCCACCCTATACTTTCTTAAACACAGGCAAAATTTTTTTTTCTTCTTTTATAATCTCTTCCCAAGTATTATGATCTAATTTTTAAATCAAGCCAAAACTGGACTTGGACTGAAGACAAAACATATTTTTTTAACAAAGCCCAACAAAATGCAGCTGTTGTATTGATGATGTGTGTACATGATGATATTGTGACTTCTTAAAACAACGGCCAGAAGAGTGGAAATAATAATGGATGTTAATGTCAAAGGCTGAAACTATGACAGTGTATTTACCAGCACACTTCCTGAGCTGGTATATTGTGGGAAAGCAGTTGCTTGGAAAATTGTCATTGTTTCCTCTTGTGTTGTTTAGAATAGACTTAGGTGTTACCATCAAGAGGGACTGTCAGTTTGTGGCAGTATAGCCTTTATTTTTCTAGTGAACGTGCAAACACACTAGGAATTGTCTGCTGGCTGCTTTGGAAGTGACAGCTTTCAGCAGAAATATTCAGACTTCTTCTTTTAAATGTAGTATGCAGCTAAAGATTAAAAGCTAATCTTTCATTTCTAGTTGCTTTTGCTTTGCCAAGACTTTCTCAATTCATCAGTGACCTAATTTTTAAAAATGCAAATACTTTGGCACACCATCATCCAAGGCCCCAGGACATGCTCACTTTGTCCCCTAAGGACCTCCACTGCTTTCAAACCACAAATGTGGAGAAGGAAAATTGCCCAAGTAACATGAATCTGAGATGAAGTAAGTCATATGGAAAACTTTGAAGTGGGCAGGGACCTTTCTACAGCATTTAGTGGGCTTTGGATAGGGTGTGTGGGACCACAAAGAGACTGTGGTTTTTTCAACCTCTCCTTTCAGTTGTGGATGAGCAGCAGTGGGGCACATTAGTGTGCCCCACCAGCAGTGGCATTGCTGACCTTGTTCTCCCTGCACAGCTTTTGTGCATCCCTCTTGGACCACTCCACCACCCCCCGCCAACTTTGCCCCCAATAGCACTGGCCAAAAGTAGACTAACTTTTTGTTTGTCTCAAGTCTTTGATTACATTTACAACCACTAATAACTAATCTAGGTCGTCGTTGCTGTTGGCAGCACTATTTTAGTTTGTATTCCTTTCTTCTGCTCTTTCGTGTTTTGTTTTTCTGAAGTATATAGGTTTGTTTTAATGTGACATCTCTGTGCAAACATATGCATCTGAGGAAGGCAAAAGAAATTTATTGCATTTTGGCTAATACAGAGGAAAGGGGAAATTGCCTACATAATGAAACAGGAGATTCACTTTTAACTATGTCATTTCTCTCGTCTCCATAGTACTGAATACACAAATATAAAATATATAATCTACCTCCTCCTTCAAACATATCAACGTACAATTAAAACCCACAAAGCTTGACAACCTGTTGTCAAGTTGTTTAAGCAGTTGTTTCAGAATCTGACAGACAAACTTACAAACAAAACGTAGAGCACCAGATTGTGGGATGAGGCAGCAGCATCACGTGGCTTCCTCCGTTATCTCAAAATTTGGAAAACAAAAAAATAGAGGAATACTTTTTTCTCCTTGGATAAATAACAGTTTAATTACATTATAGAAATAAAACATGATATGGTAGGAATACATTGGCAATCTTAGAGAAATACTGTTCTGCTACTGGTAGGTAAATGGTCAAAGCTACTTTTCATGACAATCTGAACAGTACTTGTGTACAAACTATTATACAGGTTGCTAATGAAAAATATTGCAGCAGTTGCAAGGATGTTACCAGCTCAAACAAACATCTAATGATACAATATTCTTCTAAGAGGAAGTAATAATGTTAGATTTACAGACAATAAAGAGTTATACTCTCCACTTCAAAACACTGGAAAGAAAAAGCTCAGGTAATCCAATTTCTTTACCTCATATTATCACAAGGAAAAAAATTTCCTTTCACTATGAAACAGCATCCCAAGAGACCCTGTAAACAGTTTATTCAAAGGTAGTATTTGAGATGTCACAGCAACTTCAACAATTGTCCTAGTCTACAATTACAGACTTTTTTAGGCCACTGCTTGTACAGATGACTTTTAAAATTTTTCACTTATTTACATACATTCAGCCCAATAACAGCAGGTAAAATGCGCTATCTCACAACAGACACACTAAAATTTTCATCGAAAGGCCAGTGCAAGGAGATGTGGATCATGATTGCACAGCATGGAGGAGATTATATTACACAAATATACAATTAGACTGTTGAGAATCTAACTCTGCACACATGTGACACACATGGTCTTCTGGGTAGATAAGCGACACTTGGAGTTGGTACGTACACGTAACAGCAACTGTTGTGTTGGTCAGTTGATGATGACGGTGTGGGTGGCCGTGGAACACAGTATCGCTTGGCTGTGCTATCACTAAGTGAAGGTAGGCAACTGCAAATCAGGAATACCTAAAGCTGAAGTTTTAAGTACAGCTTCTCTTGGAAATGGCAGAGATTTTTTTTTTTCTAGTGAAAGAGCAGTTCTACTTAGTGCACAACATGTAGTAGGGAAATTGTTGCCACCTCTTCAATAAATGGTTCTAAGTGAACCGACACAGTTCCCAGAGCTTTAGAAAAACTCATTATGCAAATGAAGATACTGATGATAGACGGTAACATCTCACAGGATGCTAATTCTTATTATATCAATAAGCACCAAGTTAAGTGCCAAGACAGCCCCATTGTCCCATGATTTATCATGTAAAATTTAGAACTTGAATGCACAACTAAAGTCCACAAAGTTTGCATTTAATTCACAACAAGACAGTTTCAAAAATGGCTCTTAAAATACCTTTACATTTCAAATGAGCTTTCCTCCCCTCCTCCTAGAGGACTGCTTTAGGATGGACTAGACCTAGACATGACAAAGGTCTTTTGGAAGGAGGAGTGCACATCCTCTGGGAATCCTCTGCGATCGCTGGTTTTGGCTGACTGCAGCGGCCGCAGCGGCCCCCAGAGCGTGGTGCCCTCTCCCACCACCCAGCTAAGCTGCAGGGGAGGGGGCGGAGGAGGAAAGTACCCCTGTGTCTTCCAGCCACTGCTCAGCACCTTGCCTGATGAGATCTTTAAAACCTGCCAGCCCTCACCAAGCCTGAACTCGGAGCTGCTTACGAACCTGCAGAGGTGAGCCGTTTGCGCTCGGCTGCTGGGACCTGCACTGAGGTATCAGAAATCCCACGGTGACACCGCGGTGGCCAGAGACCCCAGGGCTGCCCCCTGCTCTTTCCCCACATAACCCCGAGGACGGGTGGCAGGGCAGCACGGATTTGGCTCCGCTTTCCCCGTTTCCATGAAAGGAGCCGCCCCTCTTAGGGCAAGCGCCAGGCTAAGCTGCCCTTGCAGCTGTTTTGGCAGAAATCAGCCAGGTGATGGGTGAGGAACGGTCCAAAAAAGCAAGGCAGCAGAGAAGAGGACCCCATACCTTCTGATTTGGAACAGAATCACAGAATATCCATGCCTCAAGAGACTATCCAGTAACACGCTCCTTGTGAAAGTCCCAGGCTGCAGAAACAATCTCACCCCAGAACAGAGTCACCATTTTCTTTCAATAACTTCGTCAAACCTTGTCATCTGTATCCTGGTTTCACAGAGAGACTCAACTCATTTCAAGCAATCAGATTTGAACACTGACAGCCTTAAAATAAATTATCATTTATTTCTGGCTCTCTCAGTTTTCAGGATCCCCACCGCCAGCCACTGCAGCTGTCAGTGCGGGCTCGTGCCATGCTCTGCCTCTTGTCTCCCCTTATTCTCAAGTACAACTGAAAGGTTGCTTTCTCTAGAACATGGATACACCTCTCAGAGTGGATTGGGATGTTCTTAATAAGGTCCTTTCATCAGCAATCAGTTGGAAGAACTCAATTTTAGAAACAGAATTCATGTGCAAAGCGTGCAACAAGAAATACAGTTTACGTTTGGTCATAGTGTCCTATCCTAGTTATGCTACCATGACTCACACTGGTTAGTATACTTACACACACACACACACATAGATATTTATTTATATACACGCTCACACAATAAGAAAATGTCTTAAGTCTGACAATATTTCCTCCTCTTTTAAGTGAAGATGAGAGTTTGGCATCTCAGGCTCTGAATCTGCTTAAGCCTGGGAGACAGGAACGTGACACACTTCAAGTATACATCGACTGCACAGTGATAACATCGCACATTGATGCTGACACATGCTGTCTTCAGTGGTCCAGCACTAGCATGTGGCTTAAAACCAGTTGCCCGTTAAAGGAGCCAATATCCGGGACTTTCGCTTTTCAGTGTTCGTATTCACGCAACGCCCAAGAGCAGGGCGATAGTCTGTACAACCATAAACGTCCTTCTGTATAAACGCAGTGGTATTTAAAAGTCTGAACCAGTGCATTCCTCTCTTACATTCCTCCTCTATTCCTTTCTTGCTGTTACTCTTGTATGCGTGGGAAAGTAAAAGGTAGTGGGGAAATAACTTCAGTAGAAGAACACAAAACCTCTCCTCTAAGTCCACAGAAGACCACTAACAGTGTAAGATTTCCAAAATAGCTGATAGGAATTCTTCAAATACAGTGTTTTCAATGGGGTTTACATATCACATTTCACATTATCTCCACAGAAGTCTACCTTAGCACTTTGTTTAATCAGACAAATATCAATAACACATAATAAAACAGCATACAATTCACGGGACACGACACGTTTTACAAAACCTTTAAAACTCAGCACTGCCGCTTTTGGGAAAAATAAAAACTCCTATTACTTACAGACATGAAATACACATCACATTGAAATGAACAGCATGATTACAAGGCTTTTTTTTTTTTTTCTTATTTGATGGCATTGGTTTAGGATGCATTAGTTTTCAATTAGGTTTCACAATTTTTCTTCACACCCCCAAAAGGAACCGTCGCTAACCTGGTATTTTCTCTGTGCTCTTTCAGGAAACTTACTATCATTTGGTAAATACTTTTTGAGAAAAAAAAACTTTTGAAAAATTAGCTTGAATCCCTAATTGTAAAACCTGAAGAACTGGCTGATGGTAGTACTCTTAACACAATCATCGCTCAGCTTACAATGACAAACCAAAAAAATATTACAGGAGGGTACAAACACGTTAAGCCACGGGTTTGGTTTTCTGTTGTTGATTTTTTTTTTTTTTTAAACTAACTCCATTTCTCACAACGCGGAGAAGTCTCTGACTTACAATGCTTCAGCAGTCGTGTCTGTGGAGACAGACATGGTCACTTTGGCAATCTTAACGGTGCTCTTAATGCAGCTCTCGGCAGCCCTGTGCACGTTCCCCGTGTTGTTGGCGTGTTTGTGCTGGCAGTCAGACTCCATGCTGTTATCGAGGGGCTGCGCGGTGCCTTCGCAGGTGGGGAACATGCTGCGGAAGGCGTGTCGCAAGTCCTTGCTCCTCAGAGCATAGATGATGGGATTCACTGTGGAATTCAGCAAACAGAGCATGCTACAGAAGGCAAAGACAGTCTTGATGAGCTTGTTCATTTTCCCAAAGACATCGTACACCATGATGGCGAGGAGAGGGCCCCAGCATATGATTAAAACGACTAGGATAAGGACCAAGGTTTTGGCTAATCTGATGTCCATACGAGTTTGATCAGGCCTCGTGATCTGTACCTTACCATCCTCCGTAGACTGAATGATTATGCTTTTCTGTGTGCCCCGCTGAATCATGCGAACAGCGTGGCTGTGAGCCTTCCACAGTATGTACATGTAGGCATAGACAATGAACAGCAAGAGGACGCTGGTGACCCCGATCCAGAACATCAGGTATGTCTCATCGATGAGAGGGAATATGTCCGAACAAACGGAATTGAGCTTTTTGCAGTTCCAGCCGAGCAGAGGAAGAACGGCTATTACAATAGCGATGGTCCACATCACACAAAATGCTACGACAGCCTTTGGTCGGGTAACAATCCTTTTGTAAGCTAGTGGCCTGTGTATAGATATGTACCGGTCTATTGCCGTGAGGAAAAGGCTACCTACAGAGGCAGTGAAGGAGGCTGTAACTCCACCCAGTTTGAACAAGAAGACGTTGGGGCTGTCCTTCCGGTGGAAAACATGGAAATCCACAAAACTGTAGACAAAAATTACGCTGCCCAGGAGATCAGCCACAGCCAGGCTTCCAATGAAATGGTAGGAGGGTCTACACCGGAGGCTTCGGGAGTGGAGGATGACACACAGGACAAGGAGGTTCTCCAGGACTGTGAAGGTGCCCAGGGTGAGTGACAGCACAGCGATGGCCAGCTGCTGGCTGGGGTTCAGGATCATAAAGCACTCCATATCCATGAAGTTCTCTCCACACTGTATGTTCTCATCATTATCCTTAAACGTGGACAGGGACTTGTTGTAAAACTCTGTGATGTTGACCTGATCTGAGGGAATAATGCTCAACAGGGGATCATCTCCCGCAGTCATTTTTTCTTGGAAAGGATCACCCCTGAAGGAAGAGAGAGGGAACTTCTGGGGGTAGTATCCCAGCTTGGACGCCATGTCGCCTTTCATGTCTTCGTACTGGATATCGTTGGAGCCCATGTAAAGGAGATCTGTTGTGATCGTTCGGAAAGTTGTATCTGCGAGGCCATCTAGGATTGACTTCATAACCCCAGTCTTGTTGGTTTCAGAAAGAGTTGGGAGAGGGAAAAATGCATTGAAGGAAATCCTAGAAGGGGAAAAGGACAGACTTCATTAAGATAAACAGGGAGACAAACTCCACAAACAACTTAGTTGAACTGTGTCAAACAAAATCAACCTTTCTCTTGCATTCAGTGCAGGTCTAGCCTTTGCCACCTGCAGGGATCAGGGCGAGTCAAGCACTTAGAAAGAAACCACCTAGATTTCACTAAAACTGAATTACACTAAGAAGTGATGCGAAAACTGGAGGCACAGAGAATTGAGTATTCCACAGGAAAGTAATTTTCATTTCTCATCAAAACCTTCTGAGCCGCTCCACCAGAAACATATTTTTCTCTAGATCTGAACTTGGCTTCTGATTGCAAAGTACCCTGCACACCAGTATTCTTTGGGCTTGCTTCATTTCCATAATACCACGTGCCATCGTAGGAGCTGCATTAAACTGGATCACCACCTTCATTGCTTTTCTTTCAAAAGGCACTGAAGGTTTTGAAAACCTGACAACAGAGAGGGAATGGGGAAAGAGCCATGCACTCGGAATTTCACAGTTCACCCAGTATGCCTGTACATTCACATTACCCTGTTAAAGCAATGTGAAGTCTACTAACATCCTGAATTTGTTATTGCAAATATATTAGCAAGGTGTTTCATCTACAAATACAGGGATCTGGATATAGCTTCATTACTCTGTTCCTTCCTTCTGCTAAACATACCAAGGCAACTGGGATGTTTGGACTCTATGGGGGAGGTGGGTTGTTACCCAGCCCTGTCCACAGCTTCAGGAAAGGTGACAAGCTCTGTTAGGTCAGTGATGGCATCAGTGATCCATTCTGCATGGCTCACAAACCTCAATCTGAGCAGTTCAGGCTTGCCTAGGAAAACATGGGACCAAGTTTGGGTCAGCGTGCAGCTCTGGACAAAACTCCAAGCAAAAGGGGCTGGAGCCACCGCTCCTGCGAGAAGCATGGAAACGTAACAGGTCCCATTGGGCACACCCTCAAAACCATTTGGTCCCCTCAGAAAGGAGGAGACCAGCAGAAGGTCCCCAGGTAGCCAGTGGTCTCGGAGTCCCGTCATGCCCAGCCTTTGCTCAGGGATGGTGATTAATTGCAGGGTGTAACTCCTGGTCAGCGCACCCTTGGGAGAGCACCCTCATCAGCATCTGAGCATCCTACATGCATCGACATGTAAGATGAGTCTTACAGCTCTTCTTACACTGTACCTCTTTGTATAAGTTTGCCCGTATAACATGCCTTGAATATGCACTGAACATCTGCTCTTGGGCCCCCTTCCACCACCAGCGTAGCTGAGAGTGGTCCGAATGTAAAGAGCCAGAATAACTGCTTTGGTGTGCTACAGCTATTCTGCGTCTGCTATGGGACATCTCAATGACTACATCAGCAACAGGAGCAAAACCAAGCTTTTTCTTGCTTTTAGAATGGAGGAAATTGTTTGTGACACCCAAGAAATCCCAGATGCCATATATAGGCTTGTACTAACTTCACCTGCTCACTTTACACAACTAACAATAAACAGCCACAGAGGCCACAAGAGATTATCTGCCAAAACCCAGAGTACTGACCACCTCAACTGCTAAAGAGGAGATTTGCACAGTAGGTACCACAGCTCACTTTTCCTGTGAAAACTGAAAGAGGAAAACAATTCATCTCTACAACAGTACCAACACTGAAAACCAGAAGAAATCATGAGCATTTCCAAAAGAAGCAGAGATAATTTGTCTGATGATATACTGCACTTACACAGGGCATCTGAACTCTTTCCACAGTTCATTAAAGTCTTCCATTTGATGACATTGAGTGTTAAAGGGAATATAGCACCCTAGACCTCCAAAAGACACTGCAACTCCAGTGCTGCAAACAAGGATGAGTACAAACAACCCTTACTGGGATAGTCTAACACACACGAGACAAGACACCTGCTGTGTCAGCTTTTGCCGACATCGTTGCTCAGCCAATAACAACGTAATTATTAGACAGACAGATAATATGAGCAGTGAGGGAGAGAAATGTCACTGAAGCACACATTAAAAATGAACAGCAATAATCTAATATGTAATGTACTTTTCATCCAGAAGGTGCTTTACAGCTGTTCCTAGTAGAATTTGCAGATGTTACCCACTGCAAAAATGACCCTGCTGACAACTGAGAAATCTGCTTTATGTGGAGTCTGGCAACTTTAAAATTGTCATTATAACACCGGTTTTAAACCAGAAATGAAGACTGTGTTATTCATTTGAAAACTACATGAAAAATATTAAATAAATCAAGTAGTTCTATAAACATGTGAAGACGGCTGTGGTACTGTCTGTTATTCCAGCTTATTTCTGACAGGAAAAAGACAACCATTGTAATGATTAAAGTCACAGCCCCATGTCAAGAAGATTATGTTTGAGTAAAGCTTCAAAAATTGTATGCAACTGAGCCCTTCTGCTAGACAGACAAACAAATTGGTACAAGGTAGCTGGTCCCTGCTGGAGTCACATTGAGCACAGACTTCTCGGAATAAGGTGCAAGCCACTGTGCAACCCCTACCTTTGTCTGAAATACAAATGAAAGAACACGGATTCCTGTGTGCTCTTATGAAGGTGGCAGCGAGTTATGTGACAATATCACTATGCATGCATATGCTATGCTAACAACATAGCTAATGGGATCAGGAGAGGCAAGTCTTACTCTGAATTTCAATTACTTTTTTTTTCCCTCTGTATTTTTACATTGAGATTATTACAGTAATTTCCACCTTATTGTCTCTGCAAAGAGAGTTTTCTTTAAGAGTACTTGGGAGTTCATTAGTGGTGTAGTTTAGGCTTTGGGGGATGCAGCTGACATTAATTTTGTTTTTGTTTGCTGCTGGGAGTATCATAATTGGAAATTTCTAGCAGTATGTGTGCATGTACCTATTCAACTAGCAGTTGATTTTTATTAAAGTTACAGTAAAACAGCCGTTTGCCCGATCTGGGATTGCACTTTACCGGAATTTCGTTTATTTTAATTTAGATACTAGCTTGTCCTGCTACAAGCTACAAGACTGAAACGTGCTGAAGCGATCAATGAGGTTTTCCATGGGTGCCCAGTGAAAACGAGACTGGACGTTTGGCATCGAGGTTCTTGGGAGAGTCCAGGTCACAGTCTGAGGTGTTGCACGATTTGACATAGACTGAAAAGCTGATGGTGGGAGCAGTGGTTCGGTTCCTGGTCTTTTTGTTAGGTTAGGTGGATGTGCCAGTATCACACAACTTTTGTCTCTGAGCTCTTCTGTCCAAACCTGGGAGCGGTGAGGGGGCACCGCATCTACACGGCCACGCTGCTCTTTGCAGTTGGCTTCGATGCAACCCAAACCCGTATTGCCCGAGACCCATTAACATCTCTACATGAAATACTCCGGGAGCCTTCTCACAACCTCCCTGGTGGACAAGGGTCCCCTGCACAGATCCCTCCTCTCTGGATGGGGCTGGGGTGATGGCTCTGTGCCACAGGAAGGTCCCCTCATGGGCAGGGTGGCAGTGGGGGAGAGCCTTCCTCTCCTGCCAAGGGAGAGCCTCCCTGCCCCGCCGAAAGCTGCTCTTCCAACAGAGCCTCTGAGTCTCCAAAGCTCTCAGCATCATCTCTTCCTTATATGAGCTCTAGTACCTTACTCATTTTAAAACTGCCTTGAGAAGAACTGAAACATTGATTAAAGGTGAGGAGGAGCCCGTGCTGACGCCAGCACCCAAAATATTCGGTGTATTTCCATGACTGCATAAGGCAATTCACAGTGAGTAATGAATTACGATTACGGATGAAGATTAAACCACAGATAAAAATTTCAAGCATTTTTTTCTCTTGAAGACCAAAACCAGAAAACCCATAGCTGAACACCATTTCAGACTTTTCTCCCATCAGCTCGCGGCTGTGGATGGGCACTGCCAGACCAGCTGTGCAAAGTGACTGCCGCTAGATGGAGCGGCTTTGACAAACACATCGCTTATCCCTCTGCAGAGACCTGGCTTTAACTTCTTCTAGCCCTCTTTATCCAGACTGTTTCATCGGGGTTCAAACATATGAAGTGTTAAACATCAGCTGAAGGTTGAAAGACACAACTTTGTAAGGCTTTGCCCCCAAAGCGAAATCATTAATTGAGGGGAAAAGTTTTACTACTGCCCTCCAAGGCGTGGTTATATACAGCCTTTAAAAGAAGCTTGGATGCTACCAGACCATAAAGACCCCTTAGGTAAAATATAAAATAGATGATACATAAAAGGCTGGTAAGTTGTCTCGGACAAAAGGGGGAATTATACCTCCCCTAGGTGGTCCACGGGACCAGCTCACTCAGGGAACAAGAACGTGACTTCATTAAAATGCTATTACCTATCTTCTCCTGCTGTTCTGGGGGAGAGGGAGGCTTGGGAAGTTTATATAGTTTTCTAAATAAAGGGCTGATTTTATTATAATTTTCAAACCAGGATGATTGATAGAGCAATTTTAATAGCCTGAATAGAAACAGTGAGTATTTGTGTTCTTCCTCGGAAAGTAATTATGAACAATACAATGATGCTACTGATAACTACAAAAAATGTTGACGTGGCAAGAAAAGGAATCAAAAACAAGAGAGGGAAATCCACAATCAAACCTCTGTAGCTTCTGTTTTAGAAAATATTTTTATCTCCATGCCTATACATTTCTTCTATGATACACACAGCTAATTAAGAACAGGCTAAAGGACAAGTAGGTATAATTCAAACATAGTTTTTGAATGCACAAAAAGATGATGCATTCTCCTTGCTTACACATTATAAGGCTTGTAAGTCCTTCAGAGAAGAGCTTTATCTTCTGGTAAGTTTGCGTAGTGCCCAATACATTGGGACTCCTACCAAACTGGGTCCACAAAGTACTACCACAGGAGAAACAGCAGCAGTAATTTACACTCAGGTGTAGTCAGCTGAAAAAAGTGAGAGAGAAACGAGATCTACCATAGTAACTGTGAGCCTCCAGGAATTAGAACTGTCCTATAAAATGAAAATTTATGTGGCTAATAATTACCTTATCCCATATGGCGATGAACAATACTGCTTTGAGGACAGAACAAGGTTTCTTTCCTTGTGGAAAGCAATGTGCAGTCTGACAAACAGCACTCTGAAACTCAGTAACACTGAGCAGGAAAACAAAACATGTTGACGAGAATGTGAAAGCAATGTTACCCCTATCTGGCTTTACTACTTCATCTCCAACACTGTGCTACTCCAAGGCTATAAATGGCAAATATGCTGTCACTCCTAATTCAGGAAAACTGGCATACACTTCAGTGAATTTTCTCTGTGTGAGGGATGGGGAAGGAGCACAGCCACTAGGAGAGGAGCAAATGAGGGATGCTGTCTGCTAGTTACAGCAAGGCACTATCAACTGTGGGGTCAACTAGGGCATGCAAGTACCAAACTAAATTTTGCTCTTATGTAACATGGTGATATCTTGGTCAAGTTGAACATTAATTAGCAAGAAACCACAGCTACATGGTTGTTTCTGTTGATTAACGTACCGTTTGCACACTAGCAGGACAGGGGCTGGATTGCTCCAATTTGGGGGCAAACTGCCCCTATGTGACACCACCCAGCATCCAGCAGCTGCCAATCTGAACAACAAAAACAAAACAATGGGGAAAACAGAGCATTAATCAGTGAGCAACAATGTTTTTAAAGGAAATAACACGATTTCTTCCCTCCAAAGTTCTGTTGGCGAGATGTGTGTACCAGTTTTAGCACAGGTGACTTGCAGGCACAGAGAAAAAGAAGCTGTGTCTTATCTCCCAAACAGCCAGGGCATAAACGTGTGTCTAAGATCAGAAAGGTTCAAAAGCAAGTTTGAAGTCCTGCTCTGTTTGGTGCAGATGAAGGACCTGAACTTTGCTCTCCTGTGAGCCAGGTGAGCGTGCTGGCAGCCTCTCTGTTCTGCTGCCTGTCTCTAAACTGCTGGAGTTATTCCATGTTGGATCAAGAGTTCAACATCAGGAAATAAATGCACCAGTGTGCACACCTGGCAGGTGAGAGGCTTAGCTTGAAGTCCCTTCTCTGAACTAAGGGAACGAAGGATGTGTTTCCTACATCCCACCCAGATGCACAGGGAAGAGCAGGAACAACTGCCCCATCTGCCTGTGAAAAACCTCCAAAATTCCTGACTTCACTTGAAATCCCTCAGCTTGTAAAATACAAACCCCTCCACACACACTTCCTACCAGGCTGGAGACAAGACAAAGTACTAAAGGCACAAACCAGCAAGGAGACCGTCAGGGCCACGGAAATGGGGAACTACAGCTACCTGGTCTGCCCGCCTTTTGGGAGAAAAGAAGCAGAGGTGGCTTTCTTAAAACAACAAGACAGTATGAACATGAGATTCTAACATCTTTCACAGTTTACTTTGTACGTCTTAATTTCATTTAAAGATGTAGTTTTGGGAGAGAATGAAGAGGCTTGCTGAAGTATGAAAAGTTCAGATGAAAGGGAAACAGTGAAGCAGGAGTGAGCTGGTATTTGCTTAAAACCAGCTCCAGTTTAGGGACCCATTTCCCAATAAAGCAGAATGAAAAGGTAATACAAAAAGTTTGATGTAATGCTATGCTATTTGCATTTTAAAGAAAAATGTAAGAGAACTCATTAAGCTGGTCCATTTCGAACTCTCAAACTTTTTCTCTTTCACAAAAGGGTTTATCTTGGATTTCACTATTCCAATAAAACCGGCTTCGTTCCCTGCCATTTTCTAGCCATTCTCTAATGCCAAAAGGTGCAGGCACTTATTACTGCTGAGCAGAATTGACATAAATGTTAAACGGAGAGAGAAGCCAAGCCAGGTGCAAAAGAGATAGGGGTTGAACACTCAGTCTCCTGGAAGTACCTAGAAGAGACAGCAGCTTAGCACACAACGTGTAGTTGAAAGGAGAGAAGTCATTTGAAAGAGCAAAGCAGGACATAAAAGACCCAGACTCCACCGGACGCTAAATGCTAAAGGTCCCCAGAAGAACGCAATGTCTAGAGGATGAAACTGAGGGAAAAACACATTTATTAGCAACAACAACAACAAAAAAGGAAATAACCACTCCAAGAAAACAGCTTCCATATAATGGCCAGAGCAGAACAAGAAAGGTCAATAATTTGTTGCAGCAAAAAATATTAGAGAACTTTATTAAACAAGTAAGGATTAGAGACTGAAAGGTAGCAAAAACACCAGGCTCCGGGGAGAACTCTCATAAACTGCAGAGTGCATGTCTGCCTCCTCCTCCTTTCCCTGCAACAAACCATGGCCGTAACAAGCTGTAATCAAAGACTTTGTGAGACAGCAAGGAGATCCTGAGAGCAAAGGTAATGCAGGCTAAGTGATCGGTGTGAAGGGGACTGGAAGGAGAGAGGAGAGATAACCACTGTCCTCATACCAGGAACAGGATGTCTCCAGGTGAGACAGGAGTAAACCGGGGAAAAGCAAGAGAGGAAGGAGATCCAAGTGGGAGAAGCCCCTGGGAGGCGGCGGATGCAGATTTTAGGTAACAGAAGAATTGCCTTTGGGATCAGCTTGGAAAGAGCAGATCAGGTGAAGGAGAAAACTCACGAAAGTCTCTCTCCTCTTCAGAGTTATGCAAACTTCAGAGACACCTCCATAAGCTGAAGAATATAGTTAATGGAATTTTCACCTCTCACCCTAAAGAAATAACCGACCCACTGCTCTGCAGGCAATGAGTTGCTCTTTTTAAGGTCCATTTCTGATCTGTATTCAAATGGTGAAGGGACATGCAAAGGGCTCTGAGGAGCCATCGTTAAGGTCACAGAAAAGGACAGCACGGACACATGGGACCAAGCTCGGGACACTCCGGAGAGATCAGTTGAGCAAATCTGGCCAAGGACATTAAAAAAAAATAAATCAAACCGCTTAAGGAAAATGAAGTACAGATTATGGACCTCAGAGGTGGAAAGGAAGAGAGAGTGGTCGAATAGAGCCACCGAGACACCTATACAGTGGAGAAACACACTGAAAGGGAAAGGGAAGAGGGGTTCACAAGCAATGTCAGAAAGTTAGTGCACAGAAGGTCAGCGACACATTGCAAAGCAACATCCCTTCTACCTCAGTCCTCAGGAGTCTGCTTCTCCCAAAAATTGTTATTAGGCCAAGTCTTGGCAGTGCTCAGAAGATGGGACAGAAAAGCTTTTGGTAAATGTGATGTCCCACGCCATCAGCATTAGTGGAAGATGAAAATATGCACTCCAATTAAAAAATGTAAAACCTTCTTTCATTTCTGGAGCTGTCTGGCCTTTCATAAGATTTAAATAAGCGCAGATAATGTATCTATGTCTTCATAGCTACATTCAGAATATAATGATATTCAAATATACTGCCTTCACACACACAAACAACTTGTGAAATTATTTGCCAGCATATTAAGCCACTATACCAGATTGCTTGGCAATGGTGCATGTCTTCGAAATACGCAGATGCTTTTCTTTTTTTAAAAAAGTAGAGAGGGAGAGGAGAAGTGAGAAAGAATTACAGTAGAATTTGATATCCAAGTAGCCAGAACAACAAATTGCAGAGAGACTCCAACCAATATTACATCAGATTTGGAGAAACAGTGAAAAGATACCAGGGGATGAGTTATGACTTCTTATTTCTGTGCATATGTGTATACATATATATATTTATATGCATAAACTTACAGATAGAAATTCATAAACACATACAGATGCCTAGAGGAACAACTATGCAAAGTCTCACAAATGCTGCAGTAGTGTTTGTCATGCGTAAACTCAAATCCCCGGTGCCAGAGGACAAGCAAACAAGTTAAAAGTGTAGGTACAGAAAATACAGGTATGTATATATACATATAGGTACCTACACAGACACTCCAAAACTGTGCCACATCATCTTCCAGGCACAGGCATAGTCTGGACATCAGTACTGCATTGTTTAAAACTGAGGCAGAACCGACTAAAACCAGTGATTTCTGAGAGCATGGTTCACATATTCACCACAACGGGAAGCTGGGAGCCCCCCAAGCCTCTAAGGACAAACTTTGAAAGGTTTCCTAACATGCAGAAATATGAAAGTGGCTCCACCCAGGGCTGAAAGGGAATTGACAGTATTCCCTACAGAACTGCTCCTGCTCAGGACTTTGCAGTGAGTAAACACACCTTTCTTAAGAAGAATATACAACTGCCATACAACAGGCTAACACAGGATGAGGTACAATTTGTTTCCATCTAGCCTCGATCTACACAAACAAGACAACACCTTAAACTTATAAAATATCCAGTTTCACCAACAGTCCAGAAAAAGTATAAGGAGTGACATTATACCAACAGAGACAGTAGCAAAAGATCTATTTTATCTGTAATTTGGATGTGGTAGCTTGATCAAAAAAGTATGTTCCTACTTGAAGGGAGGTGTGTGCAGCACCATAATGCCCCTGCATGAGGCACAAACAGCAGAATAAAATGTCCTCCAACCTTATGGTGCAAACCCAATCATTTTTCATGGGCAACAATGGCACCTTCGGGAAAAAGGAAAAAAAAAAAAGTTCTTTCTAACGAGAAATTGATTTATAAGCCATTATAACCATTTCAGAAGGACAGGTTGTGGCTGGTTTCAGCGACCATTAACAAAGCCACGCACTTTCAAAGAGCCTGAGTTCTGGGGGGGAAATTCTTATCCCACCGATGGCAATCGGATGTGTGCTTCTTGCAGCCGTACGGCATCAGTCTAGAAATGGAGATGTAAAGAGCAGTACTGAGAAGACAGGCTGTCACATTTTTAACTTTGCATTAATAACAAATGCTGTTGCTGTCTATTCTGGCACATTTGCAAGCTTGCTTTTAAGTACAAGGGGCTGGCATGCATTTCCACTATAGATAGGAAAACAAGAGCAGCCTTGTTATGATTAAAAGGGTCTATTTCTCTCTGCCTTCTGTCTTCTGTGTCCATCTGCACAGCTGCTTTGAACTTGGCCAAATCCCAGTGTTAGGGTCACCCGCAATACGTATTTTAAAACAGCAGCAGAATCTGTGAATTTGCTGCTGCAGAAGAGAAAAATCTCCAAATTCTCACTTAAATGGTCCGTGAGTGGTTTTGTATAACATTCATCATTCTACATAGCCTAAACTATTTGGGAAATTGCAGGGAAATGTAACTAAAATAATTTACTCTTTCAAGAGGAGACTCCAATAAAGCCAACATAGACATCTGCAAAGAAATGAAGAGCAATCAGAAAAATGAATTCTGCGGATCCCTAGATAGCCGACTGAACGACTAGAGGGAGGTCACAAAGTTTGCACTGGAGGTGTTACAGTCATTTCTCTTAAAACGTGCAGAAGTAGAGAAACTAGGCGAGTGGAAGACAGTGCATGAGACCTGCAGAACCAGGAATGGCAACGTACTTATAAAATGATTGGGCAATACTAAGTGAATGTATGGGTTTGGGTTCTCCCTTGCCTCTTAAACTCCTCACCTACCTCTACTCAAAAGAAATTAAAGCCATCCCAGCTCTCCCTCTCTAGTGCATAACACTTTCAGCACCAAAACTCCCTGCGGGATGACAGTCTGCAAGCATTTTGGGATGGCCGCCTAAAAGGCTGGAAGGCAGAAATGACTTA